CCAAAGGCGACTGATAGACCCTCCCATCATACGCAGAAAGCACTCGACCATCCCGCCCATCAGCTCAATTGACCACCACGCCCTCCTTAACACCCCCTTCAACTCCCGCACAACCATGGCCACCGCCATGTGCCTCGAGACTCCCCATCACAGTCCTCCGCCTTACATGAGTCCCGTCGAGTCCCCCGTCCACCGCCCGGTTACGCCACACCGCCCAGAGCTCCAGTCCACATTGCAGGACGCTCTGCTTGAGAGTGACGAGAGGCGCAGGAACAGAGAATGGCGCGAGGGCAAGCCCGTGCCGTTCAAGGGCAACGTTATTCTCGACACCCCAATCATGGACCAGGAAATGGAGAAGAAGATTGAAGCTACTCTTGCCAAGACCGAACAGCCCACCACCGCTCGCAGCCGGAAAGCAAGTCACTATCTTCGTGTTTTCAAGGACGGTGACCCCTCAGAGGAGCCCAAAAAGAAAGAAAAGGCTAAAGAGCGCTTACCGAATGAGAGAACTCTGTCGACCCTGTTAGAGGAAGGATCAGCAAGGCTTAATGGGGCTGAAACAAGCAACCTCACTGAGCAACTGCGGCGTGCGTCGCTTGCCTCGTCAGCAGTCCAGTCTCCTGCAGGCGGTCCGAAAGAATCGTATTTTGAATCAAAGCCAGGTCCACGCACAGACACAGGCATTGCCATAACACCTCCTTCTCAAACAAATGTCCAAGGCGACTCGGACAACCGGCAGCTTCCAAGACGCCTCCTCGAAGATATCCGAGGTTTTGGTCACCTCACTCCCAGCATCGAAAGACGATCGCCCGTGTCGCGCAGTTTACCAACTGCAGCTATTGACAAGGTTCACGCTCACGCACCCACCAACGGAACTCCATACCACCATGAGTCTTCGGACTATTTTCAGCCCAAGGACGGAAGCAGTAGGGAGCGCACGCCGGGTTCGGAGGAGGAGGAAGAATCGGAAAAGGAGCAAATATCCTCGGCGCTCTACTTCCCCCATCGTCGTGTAAAGCCAAGCGAGCAGGCCGCCAAAGAAGCAAGTAATCAAGATGGAGAGATGAATGTTGTCGAGAAGAGGGCTTCGATTCACGAGAGTGCAGTGCCCAAAGGGTGGGCTACTGAGAAGGAGGTGCAAACCCCACAAGAGGTAGAAATTTCTCTACAATCCACAGATACAAATCAATGCCTACATGGTGACATCCCCACGGCAGCTCCCGTAAAGAAAGACAAAGATCAGCCGTTGACGCCCTCGGCTGTTGATTCGCTTTCAGGTGAATCAGAGCCTGAGTCGCTTGCTGAGTCGGCTCAATCACTTCTTGGCTATGAATCCAGTGCGACTGATGATCTAGGTACGACGCCCACTGCAGCAACCTACAAAAAAGAACCCAAAAATGCTTCGGTTGCCCCGTCTCAGCCGCCAGCCCCACTGGGTGCTGTCGAGTTGAAACCGTACGATCATCAAGTAGGCGGCCACTCGACTGTTTACCGCTTCTCAAGACGCGCAGTCTGCAAGCAGCTAAACAATCGAGAAAACGAGTTTTACGAAACAGTTGAGAGGCAGCATCCGGAACTGCTAGATTTCTTGCCAAGGTATGAAATCCCAACTGCACTACTGAGCGAAGCTGAAACTTCAGCCAAGATTTTCTTTCGCCCTTTCTGCTCGTATTAAGAATTGTTTGCTGATAGAGTATTGCCTAGGTATATCGGTGTCCTGAACGTGACTTACCGTAAAGCACCCAAGAAAAAGAAGACGCACAAGGACAAGGCCAAACACGATGTTGGCGTTAACACATCGACGACGCAGTCAGAAAATCCTTCAAGGCAGGCCTCTACAGCCCCTGGTGATCCAAGCAAGCCGGAATCGACTCGAGTTGTTAGTCACTCGCAGCAAATCATGCCTACCCCTCAGGTCATTTTTGAGAACAATCGTCATATCATCCCGGATAATTTGTTCCGAGTACCACCACGCTCTACAACGCCTGATCCATGGATGAGAAGTTCTTCATATTCTTCTTCACAGCAGCATCGGCGATATCAGAGCGACTACGGGTACCATCCGAGGAGCTCCTCACGACCGCCATTGCAGCATACCACCAGCTGGGGCGTTACAACAATCAATCGAAAGCTGCAAGAGGAAGTTCTGCGACAGGTTTTTGCTCCACCAACCATACATCATCGACAACGCCACCATCGTCACCATGTCATAGCTTCACGCGCCGTCGGAGATTCCCCGCAGTCCACGGTAGGCTCTGCGCCTACGATAAGGAGGAACAGCACAGACGTAGCCACGTTGCATTCGCAGCCTCCGGAAGAATGTACCAGGAAACAGGTCTTGAAGGCAGAAGCGCGACGTCATGCTTCGGGCGGAAGCGCTGATTTCCCCAGCCACAGCTCAATGCCAGGCTCTGGAATCAATGATGAAGCGTCAAAACCGCCACCTGGTATCCTCCCTCGACGCCGCCACTCCGGTAGCGGCTTGACGAGGAGGCCCCTTGGAATTGATACTGAACAGCGCCACGGTCTCGAGTACTATGAAGAGGACGGTTACGGTGGTGATGCAGAAGAAGAGGTTTTCAAAATGGACGAAGACTCGAAAACCAGCAGTCAAGAAGACAGAGGCCGGCCGCTACAAAACAACAGAGCTCCCAAAGCACACCACTCCGAAGTGCCACCAGAAGGTACCATGTTACCAGCAGCCCCCGCTGTGCCGAGTAACATGGCTGCTACACCTAGCGAAGAGCCAAGCAATCCCGAAAGTGCCCTACAGCAATCTGACGAGCGTGTGCAGCATTTCATCCTCCTTGAAGATCTCACAGCAGGCATGTCAAGGCCCTGTGTTTTGGATCTGAAAATGGGCACGCGTCAGTATGGCATCGAAGCAGATGAGAAGAAGCAACGTTCTCAACGGCGCAAGTGCCAAATGACGACCAGCCGCGAACTTGGCGTGCGAGTCTGTGGCATGCAGATCTGGAATGTGAAGACGCAGAGCTATATTTTCGAGGACAAGTATTTTGGCCGAGATCTCAAGGCTGGGAAAGAGTTTCAGGACGCACTGAAGCGTTTCTTCTGGGACGGGACTGGGTACAAGGCGGCGACTAGACACATTCCCGTCATCTTGGAGAAGATTAGCCAGTTGGAACGCATGATCAAAAATCTGCCCGGCTATCGATTCTACGCAAGTAGCTTGCTGATGCTCTATGATCGCGGGGATGGTGATTCAAAAGAAAAAGACGGGTCGACCTCTCAATCCAATGGTAACTCTGCAACAAAAAACGAAGAAGCCGCTACTGGACCCTCCGGGCCAGGGAACGCGTCTCCTTCGAAGGCGGAAAAGCATTCAGAGATCAAACTCAAGATTGTCGACTTTGCCAATTGCGTGACTGCAGAAGATCCCTTGCCTGATGACCTTCCCTGCCCTCCCGAAAACCCCAATGGCATCGACCGGGGTTATCTCCGTGGACTCCGATCGTTGCGATTGTACTTCCAGCGCATCTGGAACGACATCAACGAAGAGTGGGTTGAGCGAGGTGAAGGTGAAGGCATGGCGCGCAACCATCACCACGGACCTGGCCTGGGCGAAGTTGGCGCAGGCTGGATGGATGACACGGGAGGCGAGGATACTGGCTATGTCAGTTTCTAGACATGGTCACGAAAGTGTGACGTGTCTACAAAGGAAATTGGAGATGGAATTCCGGGTCTCATTCTATTTTACCTACGCTTCAGTTCTCGATTCCCGTTTCTGTGTGTTTTGAGCATGGTGTATGGCGCAACAAGGAAAGACAAAGCTAATGAAATTGAACGCTCTGTAACCGGCGTAGCATTTGCATGGGCAGGGAAACCTTTTTTTGTCTGTTGGTTTCACATATAGGATCTGGTTGTGCGTTTCAATTTTTATCTTTCATCTTGTAATACTACGGTTAACATCCCCTATGTCACCGGACACACTATGTGACCGAACAAGATTACCATTTAGACACGTTAGTTCTTCACTCGCGAATTTATTCAGCTATAGCCATTCAATAAAACAGTTATCTAGCTATTTCTACTCTAGTAATTAGCTTGTGATAGGAAAACTACCGCGGTTTTGATAATGTTGTTGATTATTTTGTTGATATTGTTCATAGTCGCTTTAGCGGATCTCGCCTGCAAGATTACCGCTCTTCGCTATTCTACAAATTCCAAAGTTACAACAAGAAATCGCTATTAAAAGAGAATGTTATTAACTACAAGTTTTGGAGACAGTAATTCATTAAGAATGCCTCGCTGGGCAGCAATGGAGAAGATGGTGAGCAGCTGGAAAATTCAACTTTTGGCTGGGAAAGACGAGATTCAAAGACTAAGATCTGTTCATGCAAGTCATTGGACAGTTATCGCTGGGTGGGCTTTGTGGGGAACATGCGTGAAGTCTTAGAATATGCTTAGTTATAGCCTAAGCGCTATCACGTAAAATTATCACGTGTAATAACAGAGATGAAGTAATGTTATTAAATCTCCTGTTTTTGCATCTTTGGCATTGCAAGAAACATTAGATAGAACAGCGAATAATCAACTGTATACAGTAGTGACTGATATGGGCTTCCCGTTGCTACACTTCAGTTATCCTGAGTGCGCGGCGCTCAGAAAGGCGCTTACTAAATAAATGTTAGCGCCTTTCTCAGTGGTGGTGTATATGGCTTAGAGAGTAGCGATCTCATGAGTCGTAGCTACATATACCTATCATCTACACAGTATAAATTTTGAGACATCTACAAGGTAAGGGCTGGAGCGGGTCGGCTATCATGCTCGCCATCAGTGGCAAATACTGGCCACATTTTGTTACTTCACATTGATCAGCACATGTTAGCAAACTGACTAGTGGAACACGTTATCAGATGGCGCTATGTACTTCGACCGCGTCACTACAGGTAAAAGATTGCTATACATCCCATGACTGAAGGATATACAGAATTCCGCTCCTATTCCACGTCTTCTTCGTGGATTCCTCTCCTCTAAAGTCACACTGTGGGCCTCTCTTGCTTTGAGGCTTTCGCCATGGCTATCGGGCTTATATTCGTCATCCACTCGTCCCAATCGTATGCGTCCTCCAAACAGAGTTCCCATGGCCATTCCAAATCATGAGTTTCATCAACCTTAGAATCGAGCTGGAAGAAATACTGCCTTAGAATCTCCGCGTCTTCTTCCTTCAATGTCTGAACCGTGGACGGTCTTGTAGGTTCCACTTGGAATTTGAACCCACATTTAATAAGCAGTTTAGACCCTTTGGTCTTTACTTTTGGTTTCTTTGTCCATCTCCTTTTACGCTTCTTTAAACTTTCCTTGTGCTCTTTTTGACAAGCCAGGCTGCTGCGGTCGGTCCGGGTCACTGAATATTCAATGACGAGATATTTATCTTTCTTGGAGAATATAAATGAAACTGTGTCGCTGTTTTGCTGTGTGCCCATGCTCGCTCAAAATTTGATGTGTCTTCCTAGCTGAGGATTTTCGAGCAACCTTGCCATGCCTAAATGTAGTTTGAGCATGCAAGCGTGGTTCTTCCGCCACGTAGCATAACTGTGGTAATCATGCATAACCTAGGTCGCCATTGGATCAAATACTGACCGGAAAATGAATGCATGAGCGCCATTCTCTCGAACCCCGCTTCTTCGTGCTATCTTCAGCCAATTACCTCCACTTTCTTCACTGCCGGTTAATTCTGCATATTCTCACTGATCAGGTTAAGAATGGCTATAACAGGAAGCCTTTCTGAACCATCCTTGCAGGTAGAATATATTAACTATGCCTAAATGTAGTTTGAGCATACGAGCGTGGTTCTTCAGCTCCGCCACGTAGCATAGCTGTGGTAATCATGCATGACCTGAATCGCTATTGGATTAAATGCTGACCGGAAAATGCATGAGCGCCATTCTCTTGAACCCCGCTTCTTCGTGTTATCTTCAGCCGATTTTCTTCACTTTCTTCACTACCGACCAACCCTACTCATTCTCATTCAAGAATTGCTATGGCAGGAAGCCCTGGATCGTCCTCGCAGGTAGAATGTACTTGCAGCTGCCGTGACAAAAAACCTGCCTTTTCTCCTCAGGCTAAGTCCTGGAAAATAGCCCTCGAACAACACAAGGAAAATTATATTAGCCTTGTCACGGAACGTTGGCCTCTTTTTGACTGGATCTGCCAGCTTCTAGGGCGTGTTCCACCAAATCAGGTTGACATTGGGTACAGAATCAGCTTAGCTGAAATGCACCGAATGTACATGCGAGCACTCCAGATAGAACTAGTCAAAATAGGCGTAGCTTTGCAATTCGACAATAAGGACGAGAACACGTCCGAGGAGGGGAAACTGAGAATGAAAAACGCAGAAATGACTCTCGAACCAGCTTTGGCAAAATATAGTACGAATACATTCACCCTAAACACAAACGAGAAATTGACGATTGGAAATCTAGCTCAAGCAGTTCGTGACTACGAGTACATGATGACTAGTTCGAGGGCATACGATTACTTCATCGTATCTTCTGAACGTGTATACGATGGAGATATTATTCGTCAAAATCTTAGAGACCGTCCAGACTATGAAGAGGCCATAGCGAATCTATACGCAAAAGAAATAAACTCCGCGCTGCCCACCGGTCCTTGGGAGTGCCTTGACAAGAACAGCCGTGCGAATCCAATCGGTAGGACACGCAACGACAGCATAAAGAGTTTATTACGCCACAACTTCTGGGGGAAACTGAGTGCAGCTATTGTTGGCTCAGGGTTTCTGGTTGGTCCTATGTGGCTCCTGGCTTTGAAGCAACATCTCTACCTGCAACTGGAAGCTACAACAGGCTTTGTGTTTATGTTTGGGCTTATTTTGGCGTACTTCGTGGACAAGGTTGACCAAGTCTTTGCTGGTGCATTAGCATACGCTGCAGTTCTTATGGTGTTTGTAGGCCTGTCTATACAGGGGGCGGATACAGGCTAAGTAGGTATTCGCCTACCTCAATAGAACTGCTGTGTCTATTGCTAAATACCTATAGCTGCTTCAAAAAACAGAGCAGGATCTCGTTGAGCCAGCGAGCGCTGGAGGGGGGAGAGAGAAGGCGCTGGGGAAGGACCACCCCAACACGCTGACCAGCGTATACTGCCTCGCCCACCTTGATCACACAACAAGGCGCTACTTAGAAGCCGCAGAGCTGTATCAAAGAGCGTACCACGGGCGTATATGGACGCTCGGCTCTCAACACCCACGAGCTGTTGCCTGCGGCGAGCATTTCGTAGCGCTGCAGCGAGAGGCGAAAGCGACAGCAAGTCTCACTTCACTACTGTCTTCGAAGATTCCCAGGGCAACCATATCACGACCAAGCATGTTTATCCTTAAATCCACTCCTCCGGACCAGCGAGATCAGGGTAGAATGGCATGTCGAGCAGCAAGACACTCTTGACAATGAGAGGAACCTGAAGGATCTGGAGTCACAGTCTGAGTTTTTTTCCGTTAATGCTATGATCGAAAGGTGTTACACAGAAGCAAAAGAAGGAAAGAAACGGGGGTCATTATGACTAAATTAGCTTTTCAAGAAGCCATTATAATACTATGCTTCAACTTTAACACGGCAAACCTAATACGCAACTGTCACTCAAGAATTGTCATCTTCGACCCAATAACTATCCTTTACAATCTCTGACATCGTTGCTCTCTTGGCAGGATCAAGATTGGTCATCATTAAGATCAGCCTCTTTGCTTCGTCCGTGAGGTTAGGAAACACGTCCTCTGTCCAATCCGCAAAATCCCCATTGACGTCGTTCTCCTTCACTGCCTGCCACAAGTTGGTTAAAAGCCCACCAGCATTGGCATCATCGACATGCTTTATAAGTTCATCCGGTAGGGGGCCGAAGGTCGAAAGTAGTTTAAACAAAACCACCACTTCAGGCTCAGTGTCAAGCTCCGCGAAGTCGAAATGCAATGACTGCACCCCCTTGATAACGTAGAGACACTAGATTAGGTAGTTAATAAGCTCATACAGGTCTTAACAAGTACAAGACCTACCAAGAGAGCAAAAGAGAAGACTTCAGAAGGCTTTCCTACGCCTTTTCCTAGCTGTCCTTCTGGGCTACGCCACATAACGTTTCCAATCTTATAGTTTAGTAGTTTCTCGCCTTTCAATTTCAAAGCACAGTCCATGTCGCCTAAGACTACTCTCTCTAGGTGAAATCCGTCCCTTGAGTCCACGTACCAATTGAGGAAGACATTGTCTGGTTTCACGTCTATAGACAAATTAGTAAAACTTTTATCGAAACTAAGCTATACAGGTAGTTTTTCACCTAGGTGAATCCAATTTTTCTTATGCATTTCAGCAAGTGTGTTTCCGATCTCATTCAATATCTTTTTCCTCGCTGTCAATGGAAGAGGAGGGTAATTCTCTACTAATGCGAGTAAATCTGATTTGAAGTATTCGTAAACGAGAATATTCTCCTTTTTAATCTTGTCTACATAAATGCGAAGACGGGGATGACCTTCAAACTCGGCTCGAAATTCCTGCAGATGCTCCAAGATGGACTCAGAGACGGGCTTCATGACGTAGGGTGTCTTGTCACAGCTGGGAAAAAGCGGTCAATTTCACCTATTCTGATAGATACGCGGGAGTTGCGGAACACACAGCGCAAGGCAAACGCTAAGTTCGGGCTTCTTGGGGTGCCGTTGGAGCACTTTTTGGAGGTTATACTCGCGACCACTCTGCCCAACAAGCGTAGAAATCATCCTTGTGGCTTGCAGAACACGGACCGGACGAACGATCATGTGAACTTCGGGGTGTATCAAGCTACCTTAAGTAATTTCGGGATAGGTGGGGGCGATGCGGTTAACAGACGTTGCTAAGGATTGGAATCAAGTAATTTGTGCAAATTTAAATCCATGACTAGTACTATAGCTGGTCAGTGCATGCAACAGTTCAGCCAATGCAACACCCTGTTTATGATTAAAAAGGATACTATTAACGCCCATACAAGAGCTATTATTATAAAAACACTCAGTAGATTAGTCTATATAGTCTATATAATTATTCTATCTAATTAGATTTTATATATAGTGTAGTATTATGGCTGCGCAGAGTGATTTTGGTATCCCAGGTACGGATGTTGGAAAAGTAGAACTTCTCAGCGCTAGCTTACTACTACGAAGTCAATATCTAGACTTGGTGTAGTGTTTTACTTGCGACGAGTTTCCTGGCCAATCATCTTATATCTTCAACACATGATAAGGAAAGCCTGGGCGTGGTTTACTTATCGCGGACTAGATGAACTGCTATCTGGATATGCAAAAGACAAGCATTCTAATCGCGAAATGGGAAACTTTCCCGTAACCACCTCTACCCCACTAATGCAGCAGCAACCCCTCATCGTCCGCAAGTCACAGCAGCCTGCATGTTCCACCAAGCACACACTTGGTCATATCGTCTGCGAGCGACCACTTGCACGGCCCGGCCATGTCTCCTCTAACCATTGACCCCCCACTGCTCAACTCGGCAAATCCCTGGTGCACCACGCTCTCCCAATTGCAAGATCTCTACACCAACCCCCACACTGGCGCCATAACAACCCGCACCTCACTCCCTTCGTCTACAAACAAAGGATTCCCCCACGACCCCAGCATCCACCAATTCACCTTCTTCACCCCGGACACCCTCTCCAGCTCAACCCCAAACACGGACTTATCAGACGATGCCTCGACGACAGGTAGTCTCAACACGCTCGGCTACTCGCCCATCCCCCTGTCGGAATACCTATCCTACGTGCAAACAATAAGCAACACACACTGCGCCTCGGTACCGCTCCACAGCCGCACCACGCACAAGCCCATTATCGTGTCGGTGACGGGCACCGCGGACCAAGTGGTGCAGTGCTACCGCCAAATCCGCACGTGCCAGCGCACCGTCCGCATGCAACTAGCCATGGAAATCAATCTTTCGTGCCCAAACATTCCTGGGAAACCGCCGCCTGCGTATTCGAGGACAGAGCTGGCGCAGTATCTGCGTGGGTTGGGAGAGGAAATGGCGCTTCAGCAACAACAAGAAGAAGCCCACGACAAAGGGCAAGCGAGCAAGGCAGGAAACAAGTCAGAAATCCCCGTAGGAATTAAAACTCCACCGTATACGTACCACGACCAGTTCCAGAGCTTAATCGATGCACTGCTGGATTGTAGCGGCAAAGGGTCGTGTCCGGTCGACTTTATCACGGCGGTGAATACGCTTGGCTCGTCGCTTTTGGTCGCTCCATTTTCTTCTTTCTCCCCAACCACTACTACATCCTTCCACCCAACCCTTGCCTCGGCAAATGGCACAGGAATCGGCGGTCTGGCAGGCACACCGCTGCATCCTCTCGCGCTGGGCAATGTATACACCATCACGCAGATGCTGGGGCAGCACGAGGTGTTGAAGGGGGTACAGGTGATTGGGGTTGGGGGTGTGGCGGATAAAGAGGGGTATAGGCGGATGAGGAGGGTTGGGGCCAGGGCTGTGGGTGTGGGGACGGCATTGGGGAGGAAGGGCGTGGCCGTTTTCGAGGAGATTGGGGCTGTAAAGGTAGAAGAACAAGGGGAGGAGGGAAAGGAGTGAGGATAGTTTTTATGGTCGTTTGCATAAGTGTTACTATGTTGTTTGGTATTTGCTTCATATTATTTTGGTATACATTTCGTGGGTGGTATGTCCTTTGGATCTAGTATTATTTTTATTTGCTGCAATGTTCATTATGCTTTCTTTCCTTTTTTTTAGAACTAGACAAAATTATCATGGGTATCTCTTTTTTTTCTGTTCCTTTCTTTCCCCAAGAACGGTGAGAGGGGTTTCCTAATTAGCTTCATGCAGCGTATTTCTTTTCACCATGCCTCGATGCTAGTTCTGCTGCACCCCTTGCAGCCAGCCATTCGCTGTCCCCTCGCTCATTAACACTTAACATGCCACTAACGTCCATTTCCAGCTCGTCCCAAAGAGCCTCCTCGACTCTGCTCTTGAATTCGGCGTCTGCACCGTGACTGCCTAGGAGAACGATTCTACCTGGCGCCTTGCCCTGCGGGCTTAGAATAAGTGCGATGCTTTGCTTCACCTGGGACCAGAATTTTGCTCGTGGCGCGTCGTACATGGGGAGATGCCACCAGCCGAGATCAGAGCGTATGCTGCGGTTGATTATGTGTCCTTGTGATGCGTAGTCTCTGCAGGTGTATTCGTGCATGCTTGCGCTGAAGGCGCCGTCGTCGAAGGCGAGGAAGAGAACATGTTGCAGATGTTCTGATTTCGATTGTGTGGTGCATGAGGATGCAGGCTTGAGAGCGGCGTGGGTGGCCATTGCTTCTTCGTAGAGTACGGCGCTGTCGTCGGACGAAGCAAGTCCTGCAGCTACCATGGCTTTCTGGAATTTCCGTTGAAGCCTGGGAGCCTGGGGGGATAGGGCTAATGCGGCTTGTTGTACGGAATCATCCAGCTCCGTCTCGATGGCTCGGTGAAGTCGGATCATGAAGCCGGACAAGACCATTTCATCGCTGGGTTCGAGTGGTCCAGTGTAGCCGGAGCCAGAGGACATCCACCGCCGCATCAGATCTTGATAGTCGGCGTCTCCTTGCATCCTGACAAGATCCCTGGTTGTTCCATTTTGGTAATGAGCGGCGGCCACGGCATGTGACGTTGTAAAGTGAAGGCCAATCGTGGGCGAAGCGTGCGTGGTTTTATCCTCGACGCTGGCTGTGTCGCCTGTGGCCTTGTCGACAATGGGTACTTGGTGTGCCTGCCGAATAACCCGTGCACTAGCCAAAGGCACGAGAAACAGCAGAGTGGACAGCTTCATGTTGAAGTGGGGGGATATTAGTAAATAAGGGCGGGGCTGACGAAAGACAACGAGGGCGCAAGAGAAGGGCTGGCAAGGGGCCAAGAGAAGACCAAGTAAGTGCAAGAGAGCGAACAATGGTGGGTGACGGCACGGTGAATGGCGGCGGTGGTGGTAGTGGTGGCAGCCGTCAGGGCAAAAGAGTGGCAGGTGTGAACGGCAAACCGGCGACAGCAGGAGCGGTCGGTCGGGGTCGCGTGGGGATATGGGCCCGTCTTATAGTAGTCTCAGGGAGAGGGCGTTGCAGACAAGCATCCGACGGTACCGTGTGGCTTGCCAGAGCTTGCCAGATTCCGATAGCGCCTGAGTGGGCTGGTTCCATGGGCGTCAAAGGCCCGTGGTGCCGTCGAGTAAGTATTGGGAAGGTTGGCGCTAGGCCGGGTAGGGCACCGAGGCATAGCTAGAGTGCCTTGGTTGCTGTTTGATGAGCGCTGCTGAACACGGCCACGGTCTGAGGTTGTCCACATGCCTGCCCGACGGCTCCTCAGGCGCTTCGCTGTTTCGTGGGGCCCGCCTGGGCTGGGTGCCGTGTGCGACGTTGAGACGGCCATGTCGAGGCGAGTGGTGTGGGCGAGGGCGAGGGCGAGTACCAAGCTTTGGCCGGTGCCGGGTCTGCCGTGATGTGAGGATGCTATTTATAAAGAGCCTTGGCATGGCCGGCGCCTGCGAGACTCGACGCACCGCCTACCTACCGACTTATTTCACGAGTTGATTGCTGCCGTCTGCCCCAGGCACGCGTCGGTGTTGGATGCCCACCTGTCTGCTGCTTACTTGCATGCGTATCATGGCTGCATTGCTCCGCGTGGCCCCGCTCTTCCAGGTACCGGTGGCGCGACATTCTGGGCCCTTATTCCCGGCTTCATTTTCACGCGCATTGACTGCTGCGTCCACATCCATCCACACTCCCCCATCCAGCTAGGCGGTCGTCTGTGGACGGCGGCTGCGCCACTTTCAATACTCGGGGTCGCCCAAGCGACTCAGTTGCCTATCCACGCGAGTGCCCTACCTGCAAGCAGACCGCACCATGCCATGGATCAAGACAGAGTTGCGACTGCTCCACCAGTCCACTACGCTCACCACCCTATCCCTAGAGCCCGTCCGTGCGACAGCCCTCCTCTACGTACGGGCCATACGACTCTGTGGCATTTGAACCCCTCTTATGCAGATCTTCCGCACTAACAACAGCATGCTTGGAGCATGCACCGTTGCGTGGTAGCAGGCCGGCTTCCCCAGCTCAACGGGTCCAGCCCTGGAATCATCCAGGCCCATCTCACATGACTCCTGTGTCGTGATCGTGGTTCGTGTACATTTCCACATCGTCAACCCCCTTTTCGTATTCCATCCATCATCAATAGTCATACGGGCATGCCCAACCCGTGCGGGGTTCAATATACGGCTATTTCCACAGCTATGGCCTTGCTGTACTCATCTGCCGAACCTCAATTTATCGCTCCACAGGGCGCAATGACAAGCTTTTGGAGATGCACAAGCGCTCGCTCCACCTGCCTTGGATTTATACAACAACCTTTTGTCCCGTCACCTTTCTGTCAGCTGAAAAAGTCACTGTAAGCTTCGTTAATATGTATGCAGTCATCTGTCTCAAGGCAGAGCGGCTCGGTCTTACTTTAGAACACGAGAAAGAACCTCTGTCCCTCCGTTGCTTCTCCTTGAAAGTATCGGAACATTTTCATCAGCACTAACAAATATTCCGCGAACGCCGATCAGAAAAGGTGGCTTTGCAGCAACAACAACAACAAAACCCCCTCTGGCTGTGCAGTAGCCCAAGTGCTTTCATCGCATCTAGGTCCTGCAATGCTAATCAGGCAAAAAGGTTGAAGATGGTGTTTTAAACTAGTGTCTAGTATTGAACACACCTACAGACGGTTTACAAAACACCTCGCTGACGCATCCATGTCAGTTTCGGATTGACAATATTCACCTGCCAACATCAGCTTACAATCAAGGCCGACCTTGGCTAGCAACAAATGGGAGCCAGCAGATTATCCAAAGTAAAATCGCTCCTCACATTTTAGTCATGGAAACCTATACTATCCACGCCACGTAACAACGACGAATGGGTGAATGAAGACTGATTTGCACGTGTCAACTACATTCATCCAGACTTAAACACAAAAGCTTTTTGCGCCACATTTCTTACAATTCTTACGCCACCGCACATTGGTCATTTATCAGGAACATCGAGTTACCCAGCAAGATTCCAACCTACACTTTTACCCCGCCATGGCCTTGTAGAAGCATAATGCTTGTAAACAATACCACCAGAATACAAATGCTCGCATTATCACTGGCGAAACTCCAACAATAAGAACTGTTCATGCGGTCGCCCCGCTCATGTGTATGGGATTAGCTGACAGTGTGCTGGTATGTCTTGGTAGTATACTGGCTTTTATTCGACTTGTTAGCATCAGTTGCTAAAAGGCACCAAATGCAACTTGTAATTACTTCTGGAGGAGCGCCACCCATCTAATTGCCAGATATGGCTAAAGTACAGTCAATTGACTATCCTCGACCCATAAATTCTCGCCGAATGTTCTTGGAGAAGTAGGGAATGGGCACATTAGAGTTTTTATTTCAATGAGCGATGGGTATCATAGATCGACTATAAACTCGATGAAATATGTGCCATTAGAACTGCAAAGTTCATAGAGAAATATTTCAGCAGTATACTCGTATATTCAAAGTACCTTCTTCACCTTCAAACCACAAATAGAGATTCGTGCCCCCAAGATGCAAAAACACACATCGAGTCCTCTACTGCTCCTACAAAAGCCGTACTAGTATCCAGACTTACCAGGCACAATACCAAAACACGGCCCACCTCTCCCAAACATCTTCTTCAAATCTTCAGCAATCGCATCCAGTCTCTCGTACGCCGCAAAATGACCACCTTTGTCATGGACGCTCTCTCGTACACTAGAAGACCTACCAAAACGTGAAAAAAAGAGCCCACAACATTTAGTTAAAAAAAACACCTCTTTAAAGTAGCTATGATTACAAAAAAGATTCAACAAAAGAAAAAAGGACAACAACTCACCCAATGTCCTCGCCCACACCCTCGGCACAACAGTAACGTCCATCCCTACGTGCCAGGTACGCTGGTAAATGGGTACCCCCCTACACTGGTGTTGTGTAGGGTTGAGTTGAGTTGCACGGGCCTCGGATTGGTGTAGGGTAGGGTCGCATAGGCCTTAGGTTGGTGTTGGGTTGGGTTATTGAT